GGGTTGAATCTAGGGATAATCAGGGCTAATGCACTAAAGCACAGGACATAGCTTTTGAATGAAATTCACCACTTTTGATTATGTTGAACATGAAAGGGGATTTTTTGTTGTAGTTTTTCAGAATCAGAACTGAGTTTTACAGGAAATATCCTTTTAAATCAGCCTGTAAACAGTTGTAAAAAGCAAAGTAGGTAGAAATTACTTTCAAAAATTGTGGAAAATGTTCTAGGATGTATTTTAGAAGGTGGTGCACTGTGAAGAACAGAGTTGGTACATACTCGATTCTAACAGTGGCTCTCTGGCAATGTGCTGGACTCATTTGCCTTAGCAGGTCTCCTCAATAGAAGGTTTAGTGATTGCTTATTCACGGATTATACTTTTATTCTTCCTTGCTCTCCTTACTTTTAAATAAATGTTTCAAAGGCTAGAACTTGTTTTTCTGAATGGAAAACAATGCGTTGTGGGTGTTTTGGAATGGTTTCATAGTTAATGTCTGAATGTGTAAAAAGATATGCAACCACAAAAATCTTCACCCTGCTGCATAGAAAAAAGAAAAATCAAGTTCTCACTAGTACACTAACTACAACAAACTAAAAAATCATTAAAAATAGCCTGAAGTGATATTATAATTATACCTGTTTATTCTTAGAGATTGTGCCTAGTGAAGCAATAAATGAGATATTAAAGTAACATAGAAAATAATACAATACATTCATGTTGGATAGGGTTATGCCCAGGGAAAATCATGTACATTCATGTAGGACAGGGAAAAATAAGGTGAATGTTTTGTAGTTTCAAATTCAATGTCTTCTGCCATTCTTATTTTCATTGCTTCTCCTGGCTTTCTTGCCAAATCTCTTCTACCCTCCTCTCTTCATTCTCACACTTCCCATCTTTAGTACCTGAAACCAACCCCTTTTCTGTCATCAAGTCTACCCTTCCTGCCTGCTTCCCAATTCACATATGGATATTCACATATCCATTCTATCCACTTGGATTCCAGGCTTAGTATAGTCTTCCTTTTGGGTGGATTAATGAATCTTCAGTTTGAAAGACTCACAAAGGTCAGGCTATTTCACTTTTTTTTCTCATCATCTTTAACAGATTCATCCACATAAACAAACTGTCATGTATTGAGCTAGTCTGTTGTTACAGTCTTTGGTCTTTCCCCTTCTTCCTGCCTCCTCTGAATCTAGAGTTTATTGACTGGTGTTAGTGGTTAGAAGTATCTGGTTTTTTTCCTGAATAAAAATGTTCCTGAAAAGCTGGAAGCACAGGTTGCCCAAGGAAGTGGTAGATGCCCCATTATTGGAAGTGTTCAAGGTCAGGTTGGACAGGGCTTTAAGAAACCTGACCAAGGTGAGGGGTTGAACTACATGATCTTTAAAAGGTCCCTTCCAACTCAAACCATTCTGTGACTATGAGCCTATGTGCTGATTGACTGATGCTAGATTAGAGAGCAAGAATTTTGTGGAAAAAAGGGAGTAAAAAGTTCCTATCTGACTAGGAGTCTCTGACAGCATTTTTGCCCCAGAAGGGATCTCTTTCTGTCAGCAATGGAACAGTTAGAACACACTGCTGAGAGCTCTAATTCTGGGCTGCTTAAAATGAATTTATCCTGTCATCAGTCAGGATAAATATGGGAGCATCCACAAGGCAATATTATGGCTCTGAGGTTATCCTACCTCCAGTTTTCTGAACTGGAATGAAGCAACAAGCTCTCACAGTGCTACAGTATTCTGACGTTCTGAAAGCAAATTTGTGCTTTTGATGGTTACCAAAATTACTGCTAACCTTTAGCAGATGGTCTTTCATACAAATTAGGTTTTCTTTTGTGTTGTTTTAACCCATGAGTCACACTGGTCAGTGGTAGTATCATCAGTGACCATTTGAGGTAGAAAAGCTTAAATTAGACAAGTTTATTTTTAAAACTAAGTGCAGTCTCTTTGTAAGTGTTAAACTTTTCCCATGAGTTTTCCAGATGGCCAGTGACATTAACATTACCTCATTATGTTTTACGAATGCTCTTTTGTTCATTTAATTATATAAAGCTGGCAATCTTTTGTGCAGCCTAATACATTTTTGGAAGGTTGAAGCTGGAATATTAATCTATGAAGCAAAACTTCACCAAACTGTTGCAGGGGAATTTACTATTCACACACTGTAAAAGATCAAAATCCCAATTTAATTTCACTTCAGGACAGATATTAAGAAAGTAATTTTCTGAACTCTGCCTTAAATTCCTAACCATTTGAATGTATAAGAAATACTTGCAACAACATCTGCCAAATGCACATCAATCCACTTAATAAGTTCATATTTCTTTGAATCATATTTTTATTTCATTCTAAGAGGTATCTAAAAGATAATTGCCATTAAATGTTTTTATGTGTAGCAGCTGGAAGGCATGTCCAATATTGTATTCTTTTCAATGTGCTGATCAGTGTTAGATTTGAAAAAGTTAATGCACTGTGTAGAGAAGAGAAAGAGTCTGTCACAGAGAAAACACCAGAGGTTCTCTCACTCATGTGAGCAGAGAGCTGTCATATGTGCCTTAAAGATAAGAAGGGAACAAGCTGATAAGGATTACTTGTGACGTCTTCCCCCGCTTTGCCTCCCTCAAACCCCTCTTCCTGCTTCTGTAGTTAGAAACATTTTACAGGGAAACTTTTTGTCTTTTTTTTCGGCAGTTGGTAAAAGTGTCTTCAAATAAATTTACGTGCTATCAGGAAAAAACAACAGCACGTGTACAGCACCATTTTCATGTATACATGGATAATTCAGATATTCAGCTCACGAGATCCCAAACCTCTACAGGCTGTATATGCAATAAACACATCAGAGTGCAAACAGCTGTCATAGAGTCCTCTCCAACGTAGACCTTTTTTGAGGCCTAAATACTTATACAGACATTACACTGTCCTATGATCCCTCACCTGAAAAAGACTTCCATATTGAATTGGTAGTGTGGAAAATATAAGATATGCTTCCCTGCCTTATTTCTGCCAGGTGCAAATGTGCTCTGTCCCTACCCTGATAGATGCAAGAAACTCTGCTTGAAAACATTTATAACTATAGTGTCTGAATCACTTTGCAACAGCTAAGACCATAGTCAAGAAAATTTTTCCGAAGTGTGGATCATATAATTTTGAATAAAATATGTCTTACACCTGGATATCTCAGACCCTGATCACAGTGACAGCATGTACATGAAATAAATCCACATTTTTTTTCAAAGGGATATGTAAATTTTTGAATAAATAAAAATTTAAACCACTTGATTCTCCCCATAAAAACTCAACTTTCCTACCGAATTATTTCATAAACTCTGTCATAACAGAATGCTACTCAGGAGCATACTTTTCCGATGGAATCCAACAGTAGTGTCTGTTAGATTCAGTGTATAATGTTACTATGGTCTGTGATGAATTAGAAGAGGAAACATCACCTCCACACTAGATCTTGCAAGACAGTTTTCTTGGCATTACAGCACCCCTGAAACAAGTACTAATTCAAAGAGCCATGCTCTTCACTGAGAGAGAAAAGTGCATTTAATTTCCTGAAACATCCCATGCACAAGTATAATGAAGTAGTGATCCATCTACTTTTCAGGATATGTCCTGATTTTTTTACAAGGTCTGGAAAAAATCATCCATATATACATATTCAAAGAATTTCTAGGTAGTGTGTGACAATCCATGTGGTGTGGCAATGTCAATGTAATATTTTGTCCAATTATGTGGTAAAATTACATTTAATCAAGAGGAGATAGGAGTACCTGTTTAAAAGATACTGGTATACGAAACCATGTAACTCCAATCATATCCCCTCAGCATATTGACCAAAGGCTTTTTTGATCTTCTCAATTTAAAAGTGAATACTTCAGTCGAGGTTTTATTACTTGCTTTAATTTTAATTGCATTGTGTTCAAAATTATCATAAACATTTCACAATCTAAAATGACAATAAATTCCTTGCCCAGCTAAATTTAAAAGCCTAGATAGTGTTCAGTAAATAGAAACAAAATTTACTTCTTTACATAAAGCTTGGGAGCTAACAAAAGAATGTCTTGTTACTTCCACTAAGTCAAATCTCAATCATTTATGCAAGTATTTGCAAATTGGATTCTGATGTTAAGCTGAAGGGAAGTGACACACTGCAAGGAAAGGAAGGTCAGCAAAGACCTTTTTTGCACTATGCAAGGACATTTTTTGGCAGTATTTAGAGATGTTTGACAAATGCAGGCATATATAACTACCAGTGACCTGAACAGTAAAAAGAACTGGGAGTAAGTAACTGGTAGCAGCCATATAAGAAGTCTGTTGTGATAGTAGAATGCTAATAATTATGCAAGCACTACAGTAATAGGGAAATAATCAGGTTGATGGAAGCTCTGAACTACTGTGCAGATACCTAATTATCTTCAGACTAGTGAACCTAGACATCATATTTCCCTGAGAGACTAGCATCATTGGGAGGTAAACAGTTCCATCCTGGTATTCTGCTTGTTTCAATCACTTTGGAAGCTGTCACCAAACTGATCCCCACCATCTGTCTCAGCTCCCAGCCGCCACTTGAGAAGGTCTCATCTCCCAATATCAACTACTCAGTTTTTAATGTCTCAGAGAAGTGATCCTGGTTCCCAGTCTTCAAAGCAGAGAAACCATCCTCTCAAATCTTCCCAATATGCGTCTTTAAGTAAGCAAAGACGCACAGGCTGGCCATCACCTGAGAAGTAATGAACAACTGTAAATAGAATCAATAATGAATGATTTTTTTTTTTATGACTCTTAATAAGAAAGAAAAACTCAGATGTGTTGACCCCTTGAATGGACACTAGGGTGCAGATGAGAGAAAGCAAGAAGTAAGTGAACACCGTGGCCTTTCCTTTGTGGGAGGAGGAGCACTAAGATCTGTAGCTCACACTATCCTGCAATAGGCAGAGGCCTCCGGGCCCCAGAGAAGCAGCAGGTTGAAACAGGCTAATGGCAGTGAGAATATCAGACCAAAACAGGCATGTTGGGTGGGCAGGATAGCGAGGCTGCTGAAGAGAAAAGAAACAGCAAATAGCTGAGTAGAGGCTGAGGGAGATAGAGAATCACATACTCGTGTTCAAAAAGATTTCAGTGGAGCTCCAAGAGACAGAAAGACGGGTGGGTCACAGGGAGACATAGAAGGGAACAAAAAGTACTTTTTATGAGAAGAGAGGTGTTTAGAAGGTGGGTGGAGAGTTGTAGTAACATATCCGTTTCCCTCCCTCCCATTTTCTTCAGGGCGTTTTTCTCAGAGCTTTTCCTCTCTCTTCTCCTCCCCACAGCAAACAGCCAAGCTGGGAAGAAGAGATTGTCTCTGAACTTAGCAGTGTGTCTGGGCATGGAAGACTGATAGCAAACAAGTAAACAGAGCTGACAACTGTGGTAATCGCAGAAGCAAAGCCTGCTCAGTGACAAGGATGAGCACTCCTCCTGAGGTAAGCAAATGGGTCTGTCTTGTAGTCTGCTGAGGTACCTTTGTCTCGCACCTCTCTTTTCTGTCCCTATCACACCTACACTGCTTATTACCTTAGGGAGCTTGGGGTAGTTGAGTTTTTTGACAGTTTGTATCCAGAAAGGGCTTGTCCGAGTCTCGGGTTTGACGATGTGGGATATGGTGCAATGATTTAGGGGTTCTTGCCCTTCCTGTTAGTCATCCTAATGGCCACCCTGAGACTGTATTCCAAACTGTTTGAAGCACCGACCAATAAGGACTAATAATAATAGGAGTAGTAGTAATAATAATAATGACCTCTTTTATTGTATCTCCATTTTTCCACACAAAATTACAAGAAAGTACTTACCCAGAAACATACAATTTCCCCCCACCCCCAAATAATTGTGTATAAACATGGCATACTTTTTGGAATGTGAGAATGACGTGATAAGGCTAAATGCTTCCCATATGGAGTGGTGTAACTTTTCTAAATTGATGTCTTAACTTTTCTGATTTGATGTCTTATACAAAGGGCTAATAAAATCTTATTTTCATATTTACAGACAAATTGCACTGAAGTGAACTGTTAGGTCAGCATTGCTAAAATATAGGAAACATTCAAGGACAACAGATATGTAAAGTGTTCTATGTGACTAAATAATTCAAACTAAAAAATACCTATGTTTTGTTACAATGAGAGCTGTTCAGTGTGACTCTGGCTGTAATTCAAAAGATAACTTTATCTTGTCTGCATTTTTCTAGCTGAAGAATTTGCAGAAATTATTGTTTTGTATATCCATTTCCATATTTCTGTGTGATAAAGATCAGACAACAGTTATCATTTTAGTTATTGGCCGTGGTTATGCTTTAAAATTTTAGTAGTCCAGAATATAATTCAGCAACCTTTCTGTTTCGTATTTCACATTAACAAATACTCTATTTTGAACACAGCCTAAAATATTTCTCAAATGGCATTTAATGGGCTCAATTTATTGTGCTTACATGAATTGCTGACAAAAGATAAATCTAAGAAAATGAAATTTTTGGTAAGTATGGAGGCATTAGTCTGAAAATATGTCATCCACATGAGTAATGTGATAAATGCAATTTGGGTAACAGCCAAAGTCAGTAATTCTTGAATAATCTACAGGCTGAAAAATAAAACCTCTAAATTATCTGGTAAATAGTTATGAAAAATAACTCCAATTCTCTCTGCCTTTGATCTCTCTCTTTCTATTTACTTTATTTTCGTGAAAGCTAGATGCTTCTTTTTCTGCTTCTTTCTGAAAGAAGGAGATGCTGCAAGAAAATCAAATTCTTTGGCTGATATAGGTGTATCAAACAGTTCTTACTTTGGTAACTGTACCTGTTATGATTCTGCTAGTCTAAGTCATGCTCACATTTGAATCAGATGGTTGATATAGTATCTTAATTCAAAATAATACATTTTATAATTGATGACAATTAGAAGTCTTCTTTTAGTGATTTTACGGGCATTTGTTCTCACTTAGCTACAGTGGAGCCATTTGAATTTGAACACTTGCACATTCTTAAAAGCATGAAAGAACTGAAACTGTACTGGAAATTGCATTCATCTGCAACTTTATGCAAATACTGATTATTTTTCTCACTCCTAAGTGAGATCTATAAGGAAAAGCTCTGTCAGAGTTTGAAGTCCTTTTCCCCAGGCTTGTTCAAACCATTCACTTGCGTCTTTATATGGAGCATTCTGGATGAGGCAACCGAGCCTCCAAATAAAGTGCTGCTGCTTCCTGCAAGCTATGTAGTATTCCTGTATCCTGTGCCCTGGAAGTTTTTATATCTCAGCTCTTGTTCCACCTAGTTCAATCCACATTCCCTTGGCCAAAAATCGTTGACTTAGGAAGGGTTCTGTATTTCAGTACCTGTGAACCACTTAGTCCGTCGAGGCACAAAAGTGAAGATTGTTCTAGATAAAGAGTCTGACAGGGATTTTGCCCAGGTCAGTATCTGTGTAGGAGTATTGAAGGAGTGGGCATTTGTCTGTCTAGATTTTTTTTAAGCTGTTGTCATGAAAAAGATAGAAAGGACAACTAAGTATGATTGCCCTCCTCTTTTATCTCTGTTTATGTAGGTCCACATAAAATCTTTCAAATCCAGACCTAGTTACAGAGGTAAGATTAGAAAGACATTCCTTATGGAAGGGAAGTGTTTGAAGAAAATTTTTATCCTTATAGCTCGTATAGCGCAGACCATAATCCAGTTTCTAAGTGGAGGTACATAGCCCCTTCCCCTGTCACTTCTTTTTGGTATGCTGTTATTTTGAGGCATATTGTTCTTAGCAAGGTAGTTGTTTCACGTTGGAGACTTGAGGGCGACAGTCCTGTTTTTCTTACAGATTTTTAAAATCTACTATTTGATGTATTTTGCATTTCAAAAGAAACATAATGTATAGGCTTGATATAGACCTACTCTTAACCAGAAGGTCATAAGAAATTGCACTGACAGTCTTGAAACACCAATTTCTTCTTAGTGTCTCCACAACCATGCCACTTATTACTCAAAAGAGAGAGACAGATGTCCTCTGATAACACGAAACCAAAGTATTGCAAAATTATAAATATTTCATAGTAGGAACAAGCCAGATTTTTAATGTGAAAAACAAGAAGTCTATTGCAACAGAGAAGTCAAAGGAATTGTGAATGTGAATCATTCACTCCCTCCTAAATGGTGAAAGCTGGGGGCTTGCATGTTGAAGAATAATTTTTCTTCTCAAAATTAGCTAAGCTAATTTTCTTTCACTCACGTCCCTACCATACTGTTAAATTGTGATACTTACTCTCTTACTCTAGGAGTAAAACCTGAAGTGTTTTGCTACAGGGACTTATGAAAGGAATTTGGATGTCCTCCTTTATATTTCAAACAGTGCCAGTATGATCATGTTCTGTATCTAGCACCTTCTAATGCCAGGACTCACTTGTATGTACATGCTTTCCATTTAGTTATTCAGCATCCTGCCTAAAGAAGTCAGGATAATAGGATTTTAAAGGAGAAAAGCAGTTAGGCACTTAACCCTTGTTAGCAATTCCCAAGAGTCAAGTAAGCTTTTGAAAGGCTTCTGAATTAATTGAATAAAATGCATGTTTGAAAGATATGAAATAATGTACATTATTTTTTTAAGCTGTTGTCATGAAAAAGATAGAAAGGACAACAACAATAATGTACATTAAAATATACAGAGGGAGTGAACACACAGAGTAAACATTATCTTATCTAACTATCCAGGTAGATGTTAGATAATCATGTATCTTCCTTTGCAGTCAAGAGAGAAAAAGAAAGGTAACTCTGGAGGATGCTTCAGCTCATACTAAGACAGATATCCAAAATAGAAGGTGTACTCATAAGGTGCTTAGCCTTCTCTATTGACTAGAAAGACACACCTACATTATGAACACAACTAAATTTATGTGAGATAAAACATGTTTGTATATAAGATTTTCTCAGTGACTTACAGCTTACTGGAGGTTATAGAATAGAGCAAATCTTTTCTCTCACTTGAACCAGGGTAGAGGGCTTAGGATGCAGTACTTGTTTCTTGAGGAGAGATCTGGAATTAGTGCTGGGGTTGCCAGACTGTAACACAATAAAGAACCATCAGTTCTAGACATCACATCATTAGCTTTAAATGGACTCAAAAAGGCTTTGATATCTTCAGGAGGTATATGCAAGGGGATTCCACAAACCAGAGTGAACTATGGAGGGATAAGCCTCCTCATAGCAAGCTGCATTTTCAATATATAATTAGTAGCTCAGTACAACAGTTGTAGCTTGAAAAGACAGGGAAACAAAGAAAGGGAGAAAGCCCCTGGGAGTACAGTCACTTAGATGACTTGGATGACTATTGGTGTTCTGGCACTAATCCATGATTAATAGATGGAGTATATTATCAGTGCTAACTTTAATATAAATTTTTCTTTCTTCATTTTTTCTGTCTCTTCAGACCTGTGACGAGGAGCTGAGAACAGGTGCAAAGAAAGAACGATGCCTTCAGGGGAAAAGCCTACTTCTGTGTACACTTATTCTCAGTACTGTCCTTGGCTTTACACTGCTTATCACCTACATCGTGATGACTTGTGCTCTAGGTATAATACGGGATATCCTTTCCCTTTCTTCCTTATCCACCCCATTTGTAAGATCCCTTTCTCTCCAGTCTGCCTCCGTTGTGTACTAGGCTTAGCCTTTCAGAATCTCTGGGAACCATAACACCTTTTGTAAAAAAATTACATTTTCCTACCTCTTCTTTGGGGAGAGATCCTCCACATCTGTCCTCCTCCTCTGCCTGCTATTCAATATACCTGAGCCCAGTTTTCAGAGAGAGCATCATTATATTGCTTTGCATCTCATCAACATATTCTGTTCTGTCTGTAGTCACTTCCAGGAAAGTGAACAGAATCTGATATTTGGAGCTCCTCCTCCACCTTTCCATCTCTGGCTTAAGTCTAGTCCTGATTTTCTAGCACAGATCAGTGCAGTCACAGTGTAAAAGGAAAAGTCATAGTCTGTTGCTAATGGAGAAGCTCTGAGCATAGAGCAGAAATATTAATTTGCCTTTCAAATTTGCTAAAGAACTATCTAGAGAACGGTTCATGGCAATGTCTGAGCATATAGAATGCTCAATACTGAAGATGCATTTATATTGGTAGATGCAGACACTCCAAAATAAGCATTTTTGACCCTTCACCTAGCTTTTTTCTCTTCATCTACCTGACATTTTTCTTTAGCTCTTTTTATGTGTTGGAGGCCATTCACTACATAGACCAAGAAAAAACTGTTAGTTTAGATCTTGTCTATTTCCACTCGGCCCACCTTCTCCCATGTCAACTGTTGAAACCATAGTATGGAAAGTCTCACTTTAATTTACAGGTGGTTTATTTCAGTAAATAATTGATCTGATCTGATGTCGATACAAGACACTGAACCAAAATGAGAACACATACCCAGTGATTTGCAGCAGTTTAGATAAAGGGAGTCACAAATCAAAGTAAGATATTATAGAAAGTTTTTGTCCTCTTTTAAAAAATGTCATTGCTGAGGTATGTTTCCCATACTTGAACAAACCATGTTTTAATCTTACGACCTTACTATTGCTGTGCTATGTCTTTCTTTTGCATCATGTGTTGAAACTATCAGTTGCTTCTTGTTTATTGTTAGGCCAAATTTGGCTGATTCAGAAAAAAGACACTGAGAAGGCAGAATAATACTAACTGTGACTACCTAGGTAGTACAAAGAGAGAACACCACCTCTGGACTGATTACTTGCCCTTTATTTGAAGAATCTCCCTTATAAAGTGCAAAGACAATCCTCCTGGGAAGTGAAAGACAGAAGACATTTCACTCCATATTCAGCAAAGACTTACAAGGAATTTAACACTTTACATGGAAAGGAGTTTGCACCAAAAATAAATCTTTTGGAGGAAATGTCCCACAGAGAACTGTTTGGTTGGTTAGTTGGTTGGTTTGGGTTTTTAGGTTTTTTGTTTCTGTTTTTAGTTCATTTATTTGTTTGTTTGGAGTTGTTCTCACTCTCCACTGCTACTGCTCAGTTCTCTCCTATTTACTTCTTCTCCAGGATCCTGTGATGCCAAGCCAGGTCTTGCTCTGTTGGAGAGACTCCTGAATTCTAGGAATGACACTGTAGACCCCTGTGAGGATTTCTACAAATATGCCTGTGGCAACTGGGAAGGCAAACACTCAAGCAGAACTGCAGAAGAATCACTAAATGTATTTGATGTGTTGTTGGAAGAAAATCTGTTGATCCTGAAAAGGCTTTTAGGTAGGGACAGATAATTGGTGTGTTACCTTCAGCAACTGCCTCAGTTAGAGCTGAGAGTACTAGCAATTGAGAGCACAATCATTCCTAACAGGGACTGAGTCCTATCTCTTCGTTCTTCTATCATTACAGGTACAGATTTATTTTTGAGCATATCATATTACAATAGCTGCATTTTAAACATTTTAATTACCCTTACCAAGTGTAACAGATGAAAGTCACATTTTAAAATTCTGACAGCAACTCAAACTATTTTATTGTTGTCTTGTAAAAGTAAGCACTTGTTGCTGTGCTTGTCTGAATGTGCACTCTAGTGATGTGGTCTGTCTCCATGTGGGACAGATATGGACTTAAATATGCACCATCTTCCTGCTGTGCTCCTGTTTCCATGCAAAGAATGTCACGTATTTGGCCTCAGGAAGAGCTGTGGCACTAGAAGGCCCCTTGCTTTGAGTCGCTGTGGGAAATGTGGATGTATTTATTGAAATGTTCTGAATCAAAGCGTAGTATTTTCTTACAACTGTTCTCTGCTTTAACACTGTCCCAACTTCTTTTTTAAACCACTTTTTTAATTTTTAATATTTTTTTTTTTCTCAGAGAGTCCACAGTTTGGCATAAGAGGCTCAGCCCAGGAGAAAGCAATGCAATTCTATCGTTCCTGCATGAATATCGAACAGATAGAGTCTCAAGGAGCTCAGCCATTGAAGGACCTCCTAAATCAGGTGAATATTAGTGCTGTGTCCTCTCCTTTCAGAAGATAATTCCTTCAAGAAGGAAAGTGAGTGTGCAGTTAGGGTCATATGGTCCTACAGGATGTAATTTTTCTAGCATCTGGCCCTGAAATAAACTCATGGTTCGCAACACAACTTCTAAGTGATAAATCTTCTAGCTTTAAATGCAGTTTCAATATCTGATTTTCTGACATCAGAAAATCATTTGAATCCTTCCTCATAACCCTATACATTACTTAAGGATGGTCAGAAAACAAAGACTACAAAGAGGGATCGTGTTTAATCTCAGCTTAGTTCGATAGTATCTGACTTACAGGCCAGGGAACATCTTGCAAACAGCTAAAACTTTTGTATCTAAAATCTGATGGCCATCCAGTAGTCCAGGCTTCAAAGGGAGCTTGTTTAAAGAATAAAATTTTTCTCTTTCCATTCTGGAAGACTCCTCTTAGTGCCATGGAGGGTTATACATTTTCCTGCCAACAAAAGAGCATTTATGTCTTATCTCCAAGGAGGGTGCAGAACTTTCCAGCAGAAGGAACTACAGGCCCACCTGTGAATCCGATTGCCAGGGAAGTGGGACCTGTGAGCCCTGATTCCTGGTTGTTCTGGTTGTTGGATGTCTTTAGAAAAATGAGACGTCTTTCCTCTCCCCTGCTTATCTAGCTTATTTTTCCTGCACAGCTTGCTCTGCTGATAATTATAATTCCTTTTCCTTGTGTCATATTCAGTTCATTGCTTTGCTTGAGGGAAAGTGTCAGGTCATTTTAAAGCCATCAGAGCTCTTCACAAGTTCCCCTGTTGCTATTTGCTTTGTTGCTTCACAGTTGTCATAATGACTAAGCTCATAGGTGTGAAAAAAATTTTGTAAATATGGATCAAGCAAGTTTTTCTCACCTGCAGCCTTGCTGTCTCCCTCCCTCTCTAGGTTGGTGGATGGAGTATCACAGATGTGGAGGAAACAAAAGATTTTAATGAAACTCTCCAGATTCTAATGGGCAGATACAACACCTTTCCCTTTTTCAGAGTCCAAGTGGGACCTATTCCTTCTGACCCCAAAACCAATATCATTCAGGTGAGTTTGCTAAAGAAAGAGCACTACCAGGAAGCACTATGAGTAAAGAGTCAGACCAAGGCTTGCTCAAGTTAAGCCTATATTCTTCTCTGAGGTAAGTTTTCCTAAATTTCAGTAAAACTCTTGATTTTATTACATAAATATGTTATAAAAAGAAATCTATTAACATTTCAAATTCCATAATACAAAAATTACCAAAGCCTGCAGAGCATATTCTCACATTTCCAGGGTTTCTGGAAATAGTGAGATGTTTTTCCTTTACTCCTTTTTGCAGATTGACCATCCTGAGTTTGAGTTGCCACCTGAGAGTGAATTCAAAGAGAAAAATTATCTTGAGGTAACATATCAGAGACTGAAGCAAGGTAAAAATGGCTATTTGGTAAAGGGATCTGCTTGAATTGCCTCCTGGTTCAGAGTGGTCTATTTCCATGGGTTACGGTCAGTCACCTCTGAAAATGACTCCAGAAGGAATTCTTTGCAGAACTCTACTTTTCCGAAAAGATAGTTCGTAAATTGTAACCCATTTTAGATGCCAGGTTTAAAACTTCTTATATAGAAACAGAATGCCAAAAATTGTAGTTTATATTTGCCAAGTAATATGAACATGGGCTTCCCTTTGTGTTTCACCTTGAATGAATGTTTTTAAAAAATCTCTTTGTCCAAAGTAAAGCTTTATAACAAAATCTGTGTATTGGGGGCAGAGGTAGCTAGCATTTTTATAGTTATTTTAAAATGTTCAAACATAAGTTGGGGAAACAAGCTCTTTGACCCTGGGAGTTATTGTAACAAAATTAATTTGACATTTTTCTGAACTTCGTAAACACTGAGTTGTTTTCAGTTTCTCAGTCTGAGTCTTTCAGAAGAGTCCTCAAAGAAAACTAAACCTGTCTACCTGTCACAAGCATTCCTTTGATACCTCATAAAGATTGAAACTAGAAGCTGACATTTTCTCTCAATCAAAAATACTGGCTCATTATATCACTACATTTCTTTCCAGAGGTGGCAGACCCGCATCTCTAAAATTATTCTAGTATTTAAAGTAATTGTATGCTGTGACAAAAATAATCTTTGGGGAATTCAGCGTTCTTCACTGAGAGAGGAACTGCACCGAGTAACTGTACTTCACTTGTGAATGTTGCAGTGAGAAGACAGTTTTAGGGGCGGGTCTGCAGAAGTTTTGAAAGATTGAAGTTTATGTGGTGAACTTATGATGGTTGAACTTATTATTGAACTTTATGATGGTTGGATGGTTGGATGGATGGATGGATGGATGAATGCGGTTATTAATTTTCAGTCATGTTCCTCCCCCTGATCATACAGTCTGTATTGCAGGTTCTCCGTGTGTATCTTTCATATTTGAGGAAACTGGGGGTCCTACTTGGAGGGACACAGGATGGTCCCCCTGATTCGTTTTCCCCTACCTTGGCCTTCATCTCTAACCTCCAGCAAGTTGTCACCCCACTGAAGAAAAGACGGGAGAGCGGGATGCTGTTCTTTCGCACCACCATTGGGGAGCTACAGGTATCTATGCCTTAGAACTTAAGTAACATGATTACATGTGACATTCAAATTGTGAAGATCCAAATCAAAAGACAAAGGAGATATTCTTTTTAGATGCCATTGTCTTGCAACTTAGACTTGGAGCCCACTGAGCTTGAAATAACTTATAAACTTATGATCTTTAACTGACAGCAGTTGGATTTTTTCAGGCCCAAAATTCTCTCCCCTCTCCTGTGCTAATTCCCTTTAAAAAAGTCAATTTTCCTTTTCTACTACAATCAATATACACATCATAAAAACAATTGGACTTGTTGAAAGTATCTCTTAACAGTATTAGAAAGATTATCCTATTTCCCTATTATTTCTTGTGAGTCAATTTAGATTCATAGTTCAGTATGTAAGCTTTGTTTTACTTCCAGGAAAATGCACCTGCTATTGACTGGCTGTCATGTCTCCAGGCTGTCTTCTATCCCATGCCAATGAACCTCTCTCAGCCAATTGCAGTGCATGACATGGATTACTTAAGAGGCATGTCACAACTCATCGAAAAATGGCACAAGGGAAGGTAGGAATAGTCCATATGTGTGGCTGTAGTTGTTCATGCCCCAAGAAATATTTACTTCAGATACCATGAATTAAATAGGTCTGTGTCAGAGGCTGCTGAATCCAGTAGTCTAACAATTGCAAGGCTACTGTGGCTCTATATCCACCGATTTGGCCAGTACTGAGGCTTAGCATATATTCCCAATAGGCTTGCATATGCATGCACCATATACGAACACATATATAAAAATATATCATATATATATGTGTGTGTGCATGTGTGCGAGTGTGATCAATAGAGATGGAACACAACACCTTTGCTCTAGCACTAATATAATCACAAACAGCTCAGACAGCCTGATCCTATTCCGCAGCTCCAGCTAATCAGGACTGGTCTATACTAGCGAAATACATATATGCACACACAAAATATGGATCACTCCAGTAGCTGGTCTTAGCTATTCAGTCTGTCCAGAAGCTAACCCTAGATCCCCTGGTGTCCATAGCTGCTGGCACTTGTGTATATTACCTGGATATGAGCCCCTAAGTCTTGCAGCCGTACTTTGGTTACAGTTACTCTGGTCTCTTCCTGTTAAAAACACATATATATAAGCAGATCTCTCCAGTACCCGGTCCAAACCACTAGTATCTCCAATAGCCAACTCTCAGACTTCTCTTTCCAGCAACTAGCTAGAACAAAAGTCCCTCCCACAGTCAACTCTCAGACTCGTTATCTCTCCAGTATTCAGATCCATCCCCAAACACAACAAATAGAATGTTAGTTAAGAATAGTATTTAATAAGATAGGGCATATCCTACTGTCAGATAGACACCCTGGCAAGCCACAAGAACATACATTTTCCCATGTATGTTCTCCCAATCCACCACGATCTTTCCCTTTCCCTGCCTTTGATCCTTCCCATAAACATACCATAATGAAGTCTCCCAGAATCCCACAGGCCTCTCAAATATTCTTTAATAAGTTTCACCTAGTCCTGAAAATTATCTTTCTCTTACTTCCCATAAAGAATCCTGTGCCCCCGAAGGCAATTACCCCTTGAGTCTCAATGGTGTTCTGGGGAGTTTCTTTGGTTGACTTATGTCAAATCATCCTCCTTTGATAACCACAGGTGTAGCCTATTCGGAGTACTTTGTTGACATTGTTCAGGTTCCTAGGGTTCCTCTGCCTCAAGGTACTCCTTTGACTCTTGCCTCACCTCTGTGCTTAGAGTGACTAGCCTTCAACCTTCTTCCCTTTTAAATGTCGTTTTCCTACAGGGTCCTTCACATTTATATGATTGTTTGTCTGGTTGGGAATCTCTCCCCAGCCCTTGATAGTCGATTCCAAGATGTACGCCTGGACCTATATAAGACTCTTTATGGAAAAATGGGATCCAGAATGGTGAGTTAGTTTTTAATCACCTTCTTCAGCCTCCCTAGCAGCTGAACACCATAGGTCATGTCTTCTGAATGTTCTCTTGATGCCTTGTCTATATGGAGTTTCTTAGTTTTGTGGGGGGAAAATCTACTCTCACTAGGCCATTAATTTCTTTCTTTTTCTCAAGGAAATATGTGAGCAGACATGATACATGAAACTTTACAGAAGCTGAGTGCACTGTGTCATGGACTAGTGAACAAAATATAGATGATCACCTTTCTTCTATGTATTTTTCTCAACTAGCATATGAATCTTCATCTTGAGTGAAAATAAGTGGAGTAAATCATAAGGAAATCAGTGTTTTAATTGATTAAATCTTTCTGAGATAGCTTAAATAGAACTACATTACTTATTCACTGCTGTCATTTTTAGACAGCAATGTGTATGCTACTGACTGTACATCTACATATCTTTTTACTGACTTCATATTTATTTGTCCTCACTCTTATGCGTCTATTTCTTTCTCTGTTCTTACAGATCCCAGCTGAGCGCTGGAGGAAGTGCTTGACTGATACCAGCTCTTTCTTTGAGCCAGTTCTAGGGAAGATGATTGTGCAAGAAATTTTCCCTCAGCAGACCAAGAAACTTGTAGGTATTCATCATCTTACTCTCCAAGCAGAGTGCAGCTTCACCTTTCTTTTCTTGACATGCCAACTTATGACCACATCAAGGCAGCAAAATCATGTGTAGGTTTTATACCTTTTTACGTATTCCTGTGCTTACGCACTTTCTCTCCTTTTTTGGGAATGAGACATGTCAGAACAAGACATTGCTGTCATTGCTAGAATAGTCAAAGCTAAATACTGGTTATTACCTTTGTCTCAACTGTTAGCAAAGTCGTATATGTGTGTCACCAATAGCTATGACAGCTCTAAAAATACATGCAATGTCAGTGTGCTCCGTGGAATAACAGTTAAGTATTAACAGTATTCATCACCAGTATAATATATTTCAATAAGATTTTCAGTTACAAAGCCATTAAACAATCATATGACCAGTTCCAAAGAAACAAATCAATGCCAACACATTCTGAGTGTATCTACAGTAAAAGGAGCAGTTAGCATAGGCATAGTTTTTGTGAGAGGCAAGACGAAAAGAAGTGTGGGAGAAAATAGGATGCCAAATAACTTTAGCCTAAATCACTGTGGAAACTGAAATCTCTTTCATCACAAAAAGAAGAAATTTTCTCCAATTATTCTGTAGTTGAATTACTGGAGCAGGGGAAGATGGTAGCTAAGCCTGAACAATGTTTTTCTGCAGCTGTGACCATTCTTTCTTTTCTCCATGGCAGGCTGAGCAGATGTTCTCTGAGATCCAAGATGCCCTCTATGACCGACTGGATGAGTTGGAATGGATGGATGAACAGACTCGCCAAAGCGCTAAAATCTCGGTGTGTGCAGAAGGCTGAAGTTACTGAGGCCTTCCTTTCCCTGAAGCCTTTAGAATGGAAGAGGCCTGCACCTTCACATATTCCTACCTGCTTCTACAGGCACACAATCTTAAATAGATGTTTTATACATACTAAACACTGAGAGTGGTTTTATAAGTGCCATCATGCATGTGTACCGACATTGATGTGTGGACATAGAGAGGCTCAGTTTTTGTTTGTCCATGGATACTTTGAATTAATTGCATTGAGATACAATTCAGTTTTATACACCTAGAGAGGCTAAAAGCTATAAAGCTGAATGGCAGAAAACAATGCTATAAAGAAAAAGAAGAGTAGAGCAACATTAGGCCTCAGGTTGGAGAATTAAGAAAGAGAAACAGAGTAGCTGTCATTTTGAAGGGCTGACTCACAGATCATGCTTACATTGTTTAGAAATAGCGTTTAAAAGGACTTGCAGAATGTAAAGCCTCCTATTGATCTTGTTTCTTTTTGTTCATTTGTTTGTTTATTATTATTTTAGGTTTCCAAACTACAGGTGGAGATTGGCTATCCAGCTCACACACTCCAGACTGCCAAAGTGAACCTGGAATACCAGAATGTGAGCTATATAATGTAAACATGCCTGTCTCATTTTTGGCGGTTTACCTGTACCAACTGCTATCGTGTCTGCTTATGAAAGAAGTTATGACCTCTGGAGCAATGCACATTTCCTACTGTTCATTTTGTGGGGATATATGGGCCCAGAGAACCTTTGTTCTATACTGTTGTCTATGCTGTCTCCTATTTAGAGTGGCTGGCCTGATAGAAGCAATTTTTGATCTGTTGGTATGTTCTGCTTGGCCTGCAGATAACATTCCTGTCCTATCTTAAACTGAAGGTCTTTAAAACTTGAAGAGAAAAAAACTACAAGTATCCCATTGGTTTCTCTTTTGATTAACCCTTTTGTGACCTGTGGAACTTTTCTTTTTCTTATACTGTTCAATTAATTTCTTGCTTATGCCCTATGACAGTCACATTACCTGTCTCTTCCCTCAGTTGGACATAAATGAAGACACCTTTTTCCTCAATGTGGTGGCCTGCTTGAAGATACTGAGGGAAAATTCCTACCTGAAACCCTTTCAGCATCTCCCACAGAATAAGTAAGTCAGAAAGTGATCTGAAAAATGTAACCGAATTACACAGTTGTGAACTGAGGTTGGAAGTGACCTATGGAGATCACCCAGTCCAGTTCTCCTGTCAAAGCAGGATCAGATAGAGCAGATCACTCAGAACCATGACCAATTGTATGTCTGTATCTCTCTTTTACTGTGGAAGGAGAGGGAGAGCAAGTGGGGAGCAGTGGGCAGAATTGGGCATAGTACTTCTAAATGTGGTTTCACCAGCTTGGAATGTTGCTGCAAGTCGGCATTGCTGCACCCTCCTTTAAAAAGCCTTGAATTGGATAGCCTGTCTTGTGTTCAGCTTGGGCACATGCTGCCAAAATACCCCACCATTTTGGAGAGAGTCCCAGACTTTTGAAAACACCCCACTTTTTTCGCCCATACTCTCTTGAGTAAGCAAAGGAAATACCAGAGCACTGTAATAATGTGAATGCTGGCAGGAGACAGGATGCTTTAGAAGGCAGGCAGCATTGTCAAGTGTGCTTAGGGCCTTACACTTCCTGAAGAGTATTCTGTGCAGGACTTCACAGGTAGTGAGGGAGAATCCCCTCATGTGTATGAAAACTAAGATATTAGCTCTGACCATCTGTAAACAAGTCAAGGTTTATTTTGAACACCTGGAATTAGATCATGTGAATTTCATCATTTGCTGGTACTGTATGAACAGTTGAACTGAGCACACTATTTTTGCCAACTTAGTGGAGGAAAGGAATAAAGTCTGAGATAAGAAGTTAGTACATTCTCTAATTTCTTTCTTTTTTTTTTTTTTCTTTACTTCTAGGTGGCATGTGTATCCCTGGAGTGTGCATTCATACTACTCAATAAGGCACCATATGGTGGTCTTTCCTGCTGGAATGTTTCGCAGCCCTTTTTTCCACATAGAGTTTCCCAGGTACAGAGGGGCTGCAAAGGTGGAAGCTGAATGTAGTCCCTGGGCTGCACCATTCTTCCAGGAAGTATCTTAATGAGTCTGTCTTTAACTTCTTTTTATTATTGCATCCCAGAAAGACATAGTAAAAGGGGAAAACCAGCTTTTTCTGAAGCCGGATGAATACTGCCTTATGACTTCTGAAAGAGAGTGATCATTGACTCTGCTGGAGCAAAATCAGAATCTAGGTGATCTAGTATATTACTAGATCTAGGATATTACTGGAATCTAGAGTATTACTTCAGAACAAAGAGTTAGAAGTCTCATGTATGTTAACTGTAAAGTAGACATTTCACCTTTGCCTCTCATTTTCAAGATTCCAAGAACTCCTAAAATCCAAACCATAGAAACCTAACCCAGAGAAAATAGGAGCCTCACAGAGCAAATTCTTGTCAGAAGCCTTTTCCAAATGTATCCAGATGGTCTTTTTTTTTTTCCTAGAAACCTTTTCTAGAAAAGGTCTAGAAGAATTAAGCAAATAGAGTTTTAATTCTGAGTTTTCCCCTGCAACAAGAACACTTCTGTAGACCATACTACTCTGGTTGGGTTCTTTCTTCATATAGAACAGATCTCTTAAGCAATATTTTTTCTCATATTAAAAGCACTTAAAGCAGTTGACCATAAACATATCATCCAATGTATTTTTTTGCTGATAATGGATAGATACTTCTCCTAATACCATAGCAGTGAAAGATAAGCTTACGCTGTTGCAAAAGGCTGAAGTTTGAAAGAAACATGTCTCAATTAAAAGTAATTATTTTCTCCATGGTAATGTTCTAGTTCTTGTAGTATTTAACAAATTCATTATAGTATTAAGAAAAGGGGATCTCAAAAGAATAATAGAAAAGGAATACTTTTTCTGGTGCCGTGGGCTGCACTTACCATATTCTTACTCTCAGCTTCTTATTCCTTTTGTATTCATTGTTAGTAAAATACATTTTTCTCACTGTCACCTTATTAAATATACTGACAAGACAAACTTGATCAGCTTTTGGGGAATTGGCACAATAGCGTTTTCTCAGATGATGCTCCAGAATTTAAACTTTACTTGGCAAGAGCCAATTCACATGACTGTGAGGATAAACTTTAAAACAAGAGGTCAGAAAAGCAGTACAATTGTTATAGTATCATAGAATGGTTTGGGTTGGAAGGACCTTGAAGGTCAGCTAGTTCCAACCCACCTGCCATGGGTAGGGACACCTTCCAGTAAACCAGGCTGCTCACAACCCCATTAAGACTGGCTGTGAACACTTCCAGGGGTGGGACATCCACAGCTTCTCTGGGCAACAGTTATAAGTTATCAGCTTCTGAAAGAGCAGTTCTAAGAGAAGATGAGCTGTTCTTGTCACTTCCTACTGAGTTCCCGGTGATGTAGTGCAATAATTTCATGCATCAGCTGTGCTAATCAGTGCATGGGAAGAAAGAATGAGCCCATAATTTCATATAATGGAAATGCAATTTGAGTGTACTCTTCCTTGTGTGACTAGTTGTAAATTCATTGCATAGAATATAGAAATTCCATTTAGAAAATCTACTGGAGGTCTCTAGTACAATCTCTTGCTAGTAGCAAGATTGCCAACGTGAGACCAGGTAAATAGTAGTCAAACCTTCATGTTTTTAATTTGCCTTGCCAATTTATGTATCATTTCTCACTAGACAACTGTTGCAAGATTGCTTCTCCAAACATCCTGCATTTATGTGGTTACCATTACAGTTGTTGTTTGTGGTGAAAATCAGGGGTAAATAAGGACATGTTTCAACAACAATACATGTCATTACAGTTCATAAAGGCAGAACCTCATTCACAGATTCTTCATTGGTTTGATGGCTCATTAGCTACAAATACTTTAAAATAATCCCATAGTATAACTTTAAGCATTTGTAGGATAATTTACACTTGTATTTGCATTTTTACATATCTGAACAACAATAAATAGGAAGTGCTTGTGTGCTCTCAGAGTAGAATACTCCTGTTGAGCCCACGGTTGTGCTCAGTGGCTATAAGGAATGCTCATCTGCCCTCTTTTTCTTTCCAAAAGCACTCTTTTCATCTTTATTTTTCAGTGCTGTGAACTTTGGAGCCATTGGGGTCTTCATGGCACATGAAATTCTCCACTCGTTCTATGGTTATGGTGGGTACTGGCTCTTTATTTACTCTTCTAGGTCCCACTCGTACTTTCCCTTAGGTGATATGAAATCCTAGTTGCTATTTTAATGTATACATATATCATTAAGGTAGATGAAGTTAAGGAAACCCCATTCCAGCCCAAGCTGACTACTAAGAAGAACCAGGGATTAATGTGAGGAACACAGACAAATGCCATAAATAGTGTTACTTTCTAGGATTTTTTTTCCCGCAGTGTTGCCTGAGGGCTGTCCTACATGCAACAGGAGTGCGCTACAAAAATCTATAGACTGCTTGGTTGAACAGTATGAAAGCTACAGCTTTAATGTCAGTGGCACTTTTACACTGTTGGAGAATACAGCTGACACTGGAGGGCTCACCATCGCTTACAAGGTATTGTAGTTTACTTCTCTAATCTCATAATCTCACCACGCAACTCAGCTGCCATGTCAGAGGATTGCTCTGCTGTACCCTTTTCCTATATGCTGCTTCAGTTCCATATTTCTTGCACACTTGTGCCAGTGAACCATGAACCCTTCATGCCCTCTGTTATTCCAGAGGATCCTCACGAAGCTTTGCTTGTAACCTCACTACTTCCATGTAAGACAACTTCTCCCCTTCACCATCTTTACTTCCCCATTTATGTTATGCATACAAAAGCATGCTATTATTTATGTGTATGCTATACTTGAGGAAGTAAGCTGAGACATGAAACAGAATTCTGTGTTGTGGTAAAATGACTCCATAAAGATATTTTCAGCAATATTTTAATCTAGAAAGAGTCTTTTATTTCCTCATGCAGTGCTTCAGCAGTTTAATTACTGGGAGTGCTGTGAGATCCATAGGTCTAAGATGGTACTTTTACATTCTTGCACGAAGAATGATAGGAGGTAAAAAGTCTTTTAATTTACACTCAAATATTTGTGAATTGTTTTGAACATAATTTTCATTCTTTCATTGTCCAGTTACCACATCTTCTCTTATGACAGTATGTGTGGGAGTATCTGATATGGGAAGGAAAGGAATTATGCTGTTATTCTCCCACATTAGAATTATTAGGGGCATGGCCAGCAGCAGAGAGCCTCAGAGTGAGGATAATGATACAATCTTGCTAATTTATTAAATATGTATTAGATTGATAGATTTCATAGGCGTAAGACATGAGCTTGGGTTACTGTCTGAAGGAGGGTTTATTATTACCCATTTTCTCTCTCCACAGGCCTATAAGAACTGGCAGAAAAAGCACAAAGAAGAGAAGGATTTATCTAAGATTGGACTTTCACATGATCAACTTTTCTACCTCAGTTTTGCTCATGTAATGAGTTCTAAGCTAGTCATGTGTCTTTCTCACTCTCCATTATTAGTTTGTCTTTCTTGATATTCAATCTCTGTTCCCTCTTCTTCACAGAACTGGGAATGACTGATAAATCTGTGACATTCAGAACATTATTTAGAAACTAAAATTCACAGATACGGGACCTGTTACAGATTTCAAAACTAACAAAAGTCCTGTCTGCAGATAGAACTTTTACAAAGATCTGAAATCTACCAAAATTAACTCATAGCAGACAAGCTGTGTCAGGGAAAGCATTGCCAGCTTCTGAGTAGTTTTTTTGCTATTGAGTGAAATCTTACTACAAAAGTCCATCCCTTCCTCCATTTACCTTTCTGTCTTGCTGAATAACTAGATGTCTTATAATTTTGAGTGACTGCTAGTGAAAAAAAGAGTTTCAAATGTTATTTAGAGATAAAGAACTAGAAGGACATGCACACATAGATATTTCTGCGGGAACCTGCTTTAAGGATTTCTGCAAAGTTGTGCAATTGTGCATAGCTGTGCTGTTGAGTTCCTTGTGATAGATCATTGGATTTCTGTGCTTAGAAAAGTCATGTCCTTGTAAGTCACTGTAATTGTGCAAAGGGAAAAGTTTTGTGCGTATATTGAGATTAGGTGAGAGCAGTGTGTAGAAAAGGAGATTATTGGGTCTTGATGGCAAGATTTGCATTTCAGAAGTTGTCTGGCAGCTACTGCATCATTTGTCAATGAACAAAGAGTAAAATCACAAGAAGGAAGACTTGGATTGCCAGTTTAACACCAGTAAAGTCACATAATCCTCCCCCGAGTCTCTAAGGTAGTAATGGGATTTTGTGTAAGTGCTCTCCTTTCTTGAGGAGCACTCATTGATTTCACTTAAGAAGCTGAAACTGGACACTGAGACAATATCTTTACCATTACTTTAGATGGAGTCCAAGGTTGAATGATCCTAGCCAAGGTGGCTTAAATTCCCTGTGTTCTGGACTATGCAGTACAGAAAAAGAACAGATGGCTTGTCAGATATAGAAATTGGGACAGAGAAGTATAAGGAAAGGAAAAACAGTCATAAGAAAGATTTGAACATTGTTGGCAGCCATGTATGCATGTTACCTTGTTTACTCTAGCACCCTCAGATGTGTGCAGAGGTGTGAGGAGCCTTAAGTCTTGATGACATGAGGACTTTCACCCAAACTGACTTTTCTATTTTACTTCCTGAAAGGCAATGTGTGGACACCAGGAGCCAGAAAAGCTACAGTTTTCCCTGAACACAGATCCGCATAGTCCCTTGCCACTTCGTGTCTGTGGACCTGTCAGCAATAGTGAGGACTTCTCCAAGCTCTTCCGCTGTTCCAGTGGATCCCCAATGAACCCAGACAACAAATGCCGCATCTGGTAATCTGTGTGGGAAAGGAGGAAGAGAGATATGACCCCAGGGACAGGAAGGCCTGACCATGAAAGTATGACCTTCTTCGCAGGGCCCCTAGGGTGACATGAGTGACCTTCCTTTATCTTCCTTTTCTTGTTATCCTCTCTGTAGAAGTTGATGGTAGGGAAATTTTTAAACTGAGTTTATAAGTGAAGAAGGTCTCCTCCAAGGCTCTCAGAACTCTGTCCCAGATGTAACTCTGGAGCGTAACAAGTCCCAAGGTGACTACCCAGTCTCTAGCAGGCAGCAGCTTCTGAGGAGCTATAAACAGAAAGACTGTTAACATCACTAGTCCTTCTATTCAGTGCATTTCCCTGTCTACCCCAGCAGCTTCCCAGTCATGTTTAATGGACAGGTCAATAAGCTGGAGCTCTAAGACTTGTTCATGAATGAATGACTCCTAGGAAAATGCTGTGGGTTACTATGCAACCCACACATGTACTTTATAAGAGAGGGAAGAATTCTCTTCTCTTCTTTTACTAATAAATTGAGACAGGTACTAGGAAAGACTCAGTGACTACAGTTTCCCGGCTGAAAGATGTTACTTAAGGTTACTGAAGGCCTTCTCTGTTCTGTTTTTGTAATAATGAAGGTTATTGAAGGCCTTCTCTGTTCTGTTTTTGTAATAATGAAGGTTACTGAAGGCCTTCTCTGTTCTGTTTTTGTTTAATCATAAAAACTCATAAGAGAAAAAAGGGGAAACACTAAAGCATCCCCATTAGTGAAAGAGGGATTGGGAGCTGAGAACAGATTCTCTTTCTTCTTTCTTTTTCAACAAGACTTTCTTTTTTAGTCTCTAGGGTTAAAGATATGGTTGAGAGTGGAGTATGGGACAGTCATGGGGGTTTCTAGAAGTCTCTAAAGATCGATTAATTAGAAATCCAAAAATTTCTCTGGATCCTGAACCTGGTTCTCTCATTCCTGGAAGTTCTCTCATCCCTACATTTGTAGATATTTACCATCCAAGCAGACAAGTAGAGCTGCTGCAGGATTTTACTTTCTACTTAAAATTGGATTTTAGGTGTTAATTTAATTTGGAGGAAAAACAGGGGTAAGAAGCAACGTGTTTTGGGGTAGCAGGAGAAGTGCTTAAAATATATTCTCAAGATCAACTTAATAATTACATTCATTTCAGATTCTCATAATTAGAAAATTTATACCAATATTCTAAAATTTACCAAAGTCAATAAGAATACAAAATACTCCTACCTTTTGCATACTCTTCAAACTGTTCTTGATTATGGGAGCATCTTTATTTTACCTGTTATATTGGCTGTGTGGGGATTGTTTGTGGAATAGGTGATGGCAAGTGGAAACATCCCTCATCAATGTAAGCCTTGTAAAAATAACTGTGTTAATACTTTCTAAGTATTGACCAATGCATCAAAATATTTTCCAAGAACAGACTGTTCAGAGATTTTGTTTTCATTACTTAACTAAAATATTAATTAAAAAATTACTTTGATTGCAAACTCTTTATGATCAGGCCTGTTTCTTTGTACTGTATTTGCACTGTTCCCAACACAACTGTCATTCTTAGCTGAACTTCCAAGTCATAGATAATAATACCTCAAAATAATTTATTTACTCATCATAAAAAATAACAAAATTGGACCTGTGCTTGTTGTTGCCATTTAAACAGTGTATAGTCCTCCTTCACTCATTCAGTTTTCTCCTAGCAGCATGTCCAGACTGTCTTTTTTTTTAGATGTTAATATCAATTAACATTGCCCAACACATTGTGTGTAATACAGATGTCATTTCAGTGTTCTGAGACTAGTTGATTTCTTAGTTTATACTGTTTAGAAAAACAAAAGCCATTGACAGTCTGCATTTTGAGGAATCTTAACTTTTCTTATATCTATCTTGTTAAGCGTATATGGGCCACTGTTCCCTGGAATATGCATTTTTTCTCTTGTTCTTACAATATATGATGAATTTATGAATATTCTATTTAAAAGACAGAGTCTCCCCTGAAGTTGGTGAGTTGAATCAATTCTTATTAGAAACTATGATGTTTTTACACAAAGAATGTATGGGAAGTGCAAGAAGGGAGATCTGGCTTAGAAAAAGTCACGAGTCTTGGATTGAGAATTTATTGTGTTTCTCAAGGAGAAGGAAAAACACTTTCAATACATGCACAAGGTGTCTGCCTTTGTCTTCAGTGTTCCGTGGGATATGGTTGATGAAGAGAAGCCGTATTGTCCAGGAGGTGACCATGAAACACAGGTAGATGCTCAAATTGTTATCATCCGTGATCACAGAAATTATTTCATGCTCTACGTCATGCATAAAAAAAAGAGCACAGTGCCACCAATCTTCAGGGAAAGAGCCAGATCCAACAGCAGATCCTTCACCGCTGCATTGCTCAATGTCTCTGAGTCCTCAGTCTGCACCATATCGATCACCTCCATTCCTTCCCCTGTTGATGAAGCCACGAAAGTTTCCTCCATTTCCTCCCAACCTGTGACTGGGGTGAAAAGGAGACTGTTCGCTTCTTTCATACTTTTCATCTTTTCATATACCTCTGCTTCCCTCCCCTACTTTTCTTGCCCTACTTTCTAAACTCTCAAATCCATCTCACCCTTACTGTATGTCCATTTTCTCCTTCATCCTAAACAGATTTGCATTATACCTCATTCCATCTCTGCTTCTGTTGTCCTTTTCTTGTTTCTGTGATTCTGTTTTTGAAATCTTTTATTTCAGAAATTGCTTTGTCCTTACTCTCCTTCCTTTGCATCTTCTTCCTTTCCTTTATTCCTGTACTTTTACATTATAAGTCATCTCAGATTCATTTACATTCTTTTATCTTTTCAGGGCCATGACTGTAGTAATAGGCTGCAGTGGCTCTTGGCAGCCTCAGCTGGAGCCTCTACCTGAATCCCATGTGTTCAGGGGCTTTATTTAAGCTAGGGCCTGGGTCTCAGATCTGTATTTGTGGCCTGTTGCAAGTCTACCTATCTCCACTTCCATCTCCATCATAGCTGTGCCTGGCCATGGACCTTGTTATTCTGGATCTTCACCTACGAATTGTCTTCCTGTTTTGACCTTGAATATGGCTTAACACTATGGACTTGCCTGCAGTAATGGACTGTGTCTGACCCTGATTTCTTTCATTTCTTTCCTGCTCCCCAGGAGTGGCCTGGACCTTTCCTTTTGGATCTCTGTGTGGTGTGAGGGGGACCAGCTGAGACGGGAAGCTGCAGTCAGGGCCATGGGTGATCTAAGAGGTCTTAATATCCATGAACCAGCCTGAACTTGTGCCTCTCTCACATCCTCTGCCCTGTAAGTGTGGGGCTGGGCAGTCACTGGACTGTGTCTGACCCTGGTCACCATCACTACATTTGACCCTGACACTGACTGGTATTCCTCCTTGAATGTGGACTTGTCTCAATGCCGTGGACTTCCCTGGTGACTTCTTGTCTGCTCCTGACTGCCATACCCAGGCCTGTCCTGCTCAGGCCCCTGCCCTGCTGGCCTTGCTATCTCATTCTGTTGCTAGCTCCCTATTCCTTAGGGACTATCTGACCCCCACTTCTCCTTGACATATGTGTTCTTGTTCCCCCTCTGATTTTCTCCTTACAAAACCAAGCTTCTGTGTCCACACCCTATCTCATTTCCTGCCTTAGTTACTCTCCAAGCCCCTTCTTTCTCATCCTCCCACTTCAACCATTCCTCTCACCTGCTGATGGACTGTTTCCCTCTCGCTGTCCATTCTTGGCAGCGTGAATCATGATCTGACTTTTCACTGGTGTGAAGGCATTAGAAAAGACTGAGCAGTAAGTAACTGGGAACAAACCCATCAGATAGATGGTAAATCCCAGAAAAACAACCAGGGTTTGATTATCCCCCATTCTGTTTTCCTGTCCAGCACAAGACACTTCTGCTCCTCACTGCTTTTCAGCTAACAGAGTCTGGACTTAACTACCACCACATTCTCGGCTGGAGCACATTGTGACATCATGGCACTCATCTGACATACAAAGGTGTCATATGCAGTTAGGCAAAAACTTTGCATCATATGTAGCTAACAACACTCTAAAGTAAGAAAATAGTGTGAACATTATTGGGAATAAAAAAAAAGGTATATCTCATCTCAAAGGTTAAAACAGAATGAAGAGATAGGATTATAACAATAGGGCACCACCTGATATCAAAAGATAACACTTGAACATATCTGTAGCTAACAACTGTCTGAAACTGAACAAAAAATGTACCAGTGGAGTGGACAATATAATTAATTTCCCACTTCAGTGTTTAACCAGCTATTACTAATTTGTGCTGCTTGACTCACACAGCCTCAATGAATAGAAATAAAATTTCAAGAAACTACAGTAGAATGACAAGCATGTGTTTTTAAATATCCTCTAGATGGTGATCTAACAACATCAATGAAGAAACAGCTTATTTTACAAAGCACCTATTCTCCATGGATTATTAGCCCTTACCATTCATTCTGTCAGATCAAATTACCCACTCTGACTCTCTGTCCAGACTACATTTTAGGACTCTGACGGTGACTTTCCACCATGTAGCCTGGAAGATAATTTTCTAGCTATTTTCAAACTCACATTTAACCCTAACTATCATTTGCTGCAGCAAATATCTTCCACATTTCCTGAATTTACATACAACTTTATGTTACTCTCCTTTGGCTTTCCCTTTTCCTTTGATTTTTGGTGAGTTGTTTGGGTTTTTTTTGTTTTGGTTTGGTTTTTGGTTGGTTGGTTGTTGGGTTGTTTTGAATTTTGTTTGGGGGGTGGGGGGTTGTCACTTTTTGTTGGTTTTTTTTTCCCTTTTCTACTATTATTACTATTTTTATTCAAGGTTTTCACTTTTTTTTCCCAAGATATCCAGAAAATTGTCTGGAATTTAGATGGGTCAGGAATTTAGCTTGTCAAATCAAGACAATAATTTTCTCAGGCCTATGAAAGTTACTACAGACTTAAGCACATACAAAGATATATACATTTCCATTCATAGATACTGAGATTTCTACACCAAGTGGTGGTCTTAGGTCATCTTGAACTCACTGTCTAAGACATTCAAGGATTTTTTTTTCCAGCTAGTCTTCAAAAGATTTTACACTCAGCCTAGAAAATGCTCATTAGAATCATACTGAAGGAACTTAGAAGTTCAATTTTTCAGAAATATTCATTAAGTGGAATTGTTGAGTATTACATGGCTGCCTAAATTTCTTATATACTGTCTCCTACTGAATGGTGAGTAATACAGAGCAAGTTCAATACACCATGTATCAGTAACTATACACTCTAGCACAGGAGTAGGACAGATGCTTTAACACATCCGAAGACTGAGTGCATCAGAAAAGAGTAAGAGGGAGTGTGACTGGTACGTGGAATTTTCAGTCCTGCAGAGCAATTAGTAAAGCAACTTCAAGAGGCGTGTTCCCTACAGAGATCTCTGGATCTAAAGGAATCTGCGCCCAAATCAGTGTAAGATTGTATATCAAAGGTGTTCTGCATTCCTCACAGGGAGTGCGAAATACTTGCAAGTCCTCACCTGCACCTCTGAAATTCTTTATTTCACTGAAGTAGGTGAGTAAATAGATGCTAGATGTGAAAACTCACACTACCACTGAGGTCATGGTGACATATTCATTCTGGCATAAGTCCATACTCCTGCCTCAGCAAGGGTTCCTGACACTGGACACTTGCTCCTACATCTTTTCCTTTGCTGACACTAGTGTTGATGTGGCTCGGTTTATGCGGTATATTAGGTGACAAAACCCTTCTAAATACCGGGTTTTTTAGGTCACTTTTCTAATATGTGAGTTTTGGATCCAGTTAACTGTGCAGTCACACAAAGGCTAGTCTGCAGCTAGCCAGCAGAAACAAATGATTAGGGTGGGATAGAGGAAGTCTAGATTGCCCTTTACTGAGTGACAAACATTAAAAATTCAATAGAAGCCGTGGTCTTAAAAAGAAACAGTGACCACACAATCCTTGCTTGAGTACAGAGAGTTCTGACTCTCCTTTAGCTTTGTTTGTGGTTATACATGTTCACTAGAAAAGTATGTATAGTGAAATTAGGAAAAGGATGTACTAAGATGAAATGTGAAATGAGAAAGATTTAAACTAATAGCAGTGCTCTTTCAGTACAGCTCCATCTCTGAAGAATTCATAAAATCAAACTGCAAAATTCTTTAAAAAAAATAAAAATATGGAGAGGTCTGACAAAGGTTTTTTTACTCAGCGTGGTTGACAATAGTAAAATATTCATCTGACCATCTCAGACCTTGTATGCATATTTCTCTGGATGTTCCCTATTGCAGTGTTTTGTGTATGTGGATGCAAGTGTGTGTGAAAATTTCAATTTGTATGCATTCAGGATAATAAAGATGGAGAAAAAAGGTTGAACGAGCTAAATTAATAATTACTGTTTTTTCCACAACTTCATCTCTATTCCCAGAGTTAAATTATGCTTTATCAGGACTGCC